AGTCAAAATTGAGAGACAAGAGTTAACCATGAAACAAGCAATAGAATTCAAGGATTAGGCCCACAAAAGAGATTTCAATAATGACAACCAGAACATGGATTCAAGAGCAAATATAATCAAGATGTCAAGATCTAGCACCTCAAGTATTAGAATTAATTAATAGAACAAAGCAATGGTTGGGATCAAGATGCTTAGAAGATTTATGTCTTCTAATTAAAAGGGCAAACAAAAGTCAAGGTAGCTAGATAAAAGAACCATTTCTCTTGGAACAAAACTCTAAGGTATCAAGTACTTCAAAGATTACCCCTTCACCTCGTAGCCTATAGAGGCTAAGCAGATTTACAATCAAGTCATCCTAGACATCCTAGAGTCAAGTCAAAGCTAGGACGTCAAGAATACAGAGACTAACACTTGCAAGAGACAAGAATAAGGATGCCTCATATAAGTATTTTCCAATAATCATCACCCTTCCTAAAAAGGTGTCCATATAAACAAAAATAAAAAATCAAGAAGATCAACAGGTATACTACAACAAGAACTAGCAGAATATGCAGGATTTGAGCAAGAGCAGTATACAGAATTTGAGCAAGAACCAGTGTCAGAACAAGAATGGTTTTCAAGGACAATTCAAACTAGATTCCAAGAACAGTGCAAGAATTAATTTCAGACAAGTATGAAGATAATGAGGATTTCAATAATCATTATCCATTTCCTTTGGATTTCAATTTCAAGAACAAGTACAAAGCAATGTCAAGAAAGATTCAAGATGGATTTCAAGAGTCTTAAGCAATTCCCAGATATCAAGAATATAGAGATTGGCAACAATAGAGAGTTTAACTTTATGACAACTTATCAATCTTCACAAAAACATGGCAATTTCAATGGAATGATCACTGTTCTTGATTAACCAATATAAAAAAAAAATGAGCCACATGAAAAGACCATGAAGCTCCAAATGGAAAAAGTGAAACTTCACTATAAGACTTTCAGAAAGATTAGGAGCAACAAAATTACCAAGTTATCCAGCTCCTAAAGCACAGCTAGAAAACACACAACATTTGCTAAAATAGCCTTGAATCTCTTACACAATAGAGGGTTTGCCCATCTTCCACTGGTCATGTGACAAACAGAACAAATTTCTCAACCAGCTATGTGGTAGAGACCAACAGGATCAATGACAAAGATCTTTGCAACTCCCCAGATTTCACAATGGTGGCAAAAGAGCATACAAAAATTCTATTCAAGTACCACGTCTAAACAACTGCAAACTATCAGAAAATGACCAAGTTTCAAAACAAGGTCTTAAGAACATGGCGGACAAGATTAATCTCATGAATCTACACAGGGTATGTAGGCAGGAAACAAGAACAATCAGATTACTATCTCATCCAAATGGATAGAAAATTCAGGCAACATGAATAAGAATCGTCCCTTATATAACCCCATCACTCATCTCACCACGGTTCTAAAATCCACTGGCTAGCCAAGTCCAAAACAATCCTAGGTATTTAATTAAACCTAGGTATTTAATTAAATCTAAGATCCAATACCACTCAATCTGCTCTGATGCCACTCAATTTGGAGGTGCTTAATTTAATCCTAAACTCTTAATTTAAACTTAAGCTCTTAATTTCAACCTAAGCTCTAATACCACTAAATCTGTCACGCCCCAAAACCCAAATCTGGGGACGTGGCAGACGCCGTGCACTCGTGAGAGGGTCCCACAAATGCACAAGACTCGGAACTTAATCATATCATAATCTGATACCATCAAAATCTGAAGATCAAATTATAAGATTTTCTCTCATATCATAAATCTCCAATACATTCTAACTTACAAGATCATGATTTATATCTAAATCTATATCAATTACAATGGCTAGCCTTCTAACTCGTCACTTCCCGTGGTTTCCCCGTCCTCGGTTTCGGTTCCTGAAATGGTGGACAAGGAAAAACTATGAGATAAACTCAGTAAGTAAAATATGGAGTGCCCTTATTAAACTTATAGCATGCCAACAAGTGTAATCACAAAAACGGATATAGTACGGGAACAAAATAGACGTCTCCTCTATAGGTCACGGCCAGTGTTATAAACCTCCCAATGGTAGGCACATGATTTACTAGGGTATAATCCCCACTAGCATGGTCACTTGAATGAACCGGTTCTATCACTAACATATCGACATGTGCCAACATGTGCTAGCGTTTAACCCCCACTAGCAGAGTTACAGAAACATGACCACATCGGAGACAAAACAAGCTGAAGTTAACAGAAAACATAATTCACCAATCACTTTCAGATCATCAGGACAATCAATTAAATTCCAAGTAGGCATGCTCAATTTAATGAAAAGCATAAAAATTCCACTTCAAATCAGTCATACTTGTGTAAAACGGGTTTAGTCCCGCCACCACTTCAAAAACAAATCAAAATATGCTTTTAAAAACAGTACGGGCATTACCATAAATTTACTTACCTCACTTGCATAAAACCGAGCACTCAATTCATGTACTAAAGTACCTCGAGGATTAAGAACCTAATCAAAATATCCAAGAATTAATTACCGAACTACCACAATTTCAAACTGAAATCATCATTAGGACTACCCTTAATCACGATGCTATTTCTATCAATCTCCACATTATCAGATATCTCCAAATTTGTTCTTATATCACAAATTAATCATTTAAAACCCCGTTAATTGTTGACCCTCGGTGTGTGAACAGTGATCTGTGAACAGTACCCGTGAACAGTACCACGACGTGAACAGTAACTTCACTTCCAAAAATTGACCAAAACACTAGCTAATCTCATGGGATTTTCTCCAAAAATCTCACAGCAGTCAATTAACACTCAATCACATAAATCCCACTTGAATTAAGCTAAATCATGGTCTAATTACTATCAATTTTCTCCCTTAATTAATCCAGAATTTTGGACACAAAGGGCAGCAATTAAATGGCTAAAACTTGCACTTAAAGAAGCTGCCACATACCATAATTCTCCAGCTGTAAAAACCGGAGCTGTAGGGGGGAAGAGGCCGGCGGCAAGCTGCAGGGAAAGCTCATGGGTTCACCCAAAATTGGAGGAACAAGAGCAATTAAAGTAAACCCAAGGCAATTCAAAGCTAGAGAAGGGAGATTCATGGCTATTTCTTACCAAAAACCGAAGCAATTTGCCCTGACAAACAAGAGCAGCTGGTGGACAGTAGAGGGAAGAGCAGAGAAGATCTGGAAGCTTCCTGCAGGGGGGAATTTCTGGGTTCCAATCTATGTTTTAGAGCAAGAAAAGAAGGAGAAATCAAGCTTATCTCACTGGTTTCTCTAAGGAAGGGTGTCGGGTTCCCTTTTTTTTTCTTTCGGGTGGTTGCAGCGGGAAGAAGAAGAAGAAGAGCAGAATCGGGTTGAGCAGAAAGAGGAAAAGGAGAAAAAGAAATAAGCCATCCTTATCCAAATTTTCCTCTTTTAAGTCCCTCAGCTTTCAGAATATTCACATTAGGCCCCAACATAATATTTTTCCACAATTCAGTACCTAACTCACTTATTTATCCTAGAAATTTTTTGGGGTATTACAGTATACCTATTGATCTTCTTGATTTTTGACTTTTGTTCATATGGACACCTCTTTAGGAGGGGTGATGATTATTAGAAATACCTATATGAGGCATCCTAATTCTTGTCTCTTGCAAGTGTTAATCTTTGTATTCTTGAAGTCTTAGCTTTGATTTGACTCTAGGATGTCTAGGATGACTTGGTTGTAAATCTGCTTAACCTTCATGAGCTATGAGGTGAAGGGGTAGTTTTTGAAGTACCTGATGCCCTAGAGTTTTATTCCAGGTGAAATGGTTCTTTTATCTGACTGCTTTGATTTTTGTTTGCCTTTTTAATTAGAAGACAGTAATCTTCTAAGCATCTTGATCCTAGCCATTGCTTTGTTCTGTTAATTAATTCTAGTACTTGAGGTGCTAGATCTTGACATCCTGATTATATCTGCTCTTGAATCCGTGTTCTGGTTGTCATTATTGAAAACTCTTTTGTGGGCCTAATCCTTGGATTTTATTGCTTGTTTCATGGTTAACTCTTGTCTCTCAATTTTGATTGCTTGGTTAAATTTGATCTTGATTCATGGTGAATGCCATTTTGTTGTTGAATTTTTGAGGCATTCTACCTTACACTCTCATGTTTTAGTATTCTTCCAAGCATTCATATTTTCCACTGTTTTCATTTTGGTGCTATTTTGGAAATTTCACGTCATTTGATGGGTCTAGCTTTTAACTCTTGTTAATTGCTAAAATTTGTCTCTTGATTCTAGTTGTTTTGTTAAACATGATCTTATTGGTTAACCTTGTTTTGTAACATAATGTATAAGGCATCCATGCGCTTGTTCATTCATTCATGATCAATATATCTATTGGATGCTTATCTGTCTTTGATAGAGTTCAAAGTTTTGTTGTACTTGTCTTTAAATCCATGCCATTCTTTGCCAACTCGTCTTGTGTTGGGTTCAAAGCGTAACCCCACAACTGTTCTTTTGTGGCTTTGGCAGGATTTATTTCTATTCCTTGTGTTTCCCATATCACCCTAGCCTCCAGTAGCTTGTTTTCATGGTAAATCTTGATAAGTAGTTAGTGTTCTATTTTTAAGAATAGTTGTGGTTTGATATCAAAGTGACGCAAACGGAAGTGTGGTAAGCTATGTTCTGTTCGTAAAGAGTTGGTGAGGCAATTGTTTTGTCTTGGATTGTGTGAAGCCATTCACCACTTGAGACGACCCTAGATTCGAGTTTTGGGGACAAAACTCCTTTTTAGGAGGGGTGAATGTAATATCCCAAATTTTCGGGAATTTTATCATTCAAGTTAGGGACTTGATTGTGAGAAAAGATTCTTTTGGGGCCTAATGTGAATATTTCAAAACTTGAGGGACTTAAAAGGGTAGAAATTTGGATAAGGATGGCTGATATTTTTCTCCTTTTTCCTCT